GTATTATATAATGCAATACGGGGGACAATTCTGGTATTAGTGTTAGAATGGTCTACTGTATTGTGGAGACGATATACATAATTTGCATATACACAAACATCCAGACGCGGATTAAACTGAAAAAACTGGGAACTGAAAAGAGATTGGCAGCAGCATCTTCTTAATAACAAATAGGTATTTATAAATAACTGGACCAACCCGCCTACTTAGCGTGGCAACTATGGCAAAATCTTTATGAGGCAATCTTTGGGGGAGGCCAATGTTCAGTAGTGGACTGCGAACGACCGTGAGCGCTCGGTCCTATACATTCCATGCGCTCTCGCTGCAATAATATATCGCGTAAAAAATACGCCCAAATTTTAAAATAATTTCTTTATAAAATCGAATTTTAGTCCTTTGAAAAAATTTAATTGATCAAAATGTTTATTAATAAATTGCCTATCCATTAGTGTCAGTCGCGAAATAAATAAAATTCGATGGCTTAGTTGTAGGAAGATTCATTAAGTATTTACTCCTTTTTAAAAAAATTGGTTTACTAGCAACCAAAGCTGGTAATTCTGGGGGTATGAATGATGAGATTGAAAGAAACCAGGCAGAATTTAGACGTCTTAATAAGAGAGTAAAAGAAATAGTTGAAAAGAAATGCAAGAAAGAACGGATAATAATGATAGAAGGATATCTGATAACTTCCAGGCAAATAATAAAATATACTGGAAACTGGTAAAGACTGCCAGAGGAAATTCAAAACAGCCTAGAATGAATGCTATACGCGACGAAAACGGATGTATTCTGAGTGACGAAGTTTCGAATTTAAAGAGATGGAAGGAATACTTTGAAATCGTGTTTATGTTTAAGAGTCGTCTAAATTAAATGAACTAGAAATTCCGAAAGAAGTGGAAAGGGATATGGAGATAAGTGTAGATGAAATAATGAAAACAATGAAAAGCATGAAAGCAGGTCAGGCAGCTGGATATGATAGAGTATCACTCGAGATGCTAAGGGCTGGAGGGGGAGTGGTGGCAGGCCTGCTGTACACCTTGTTTATGTTGGGAACTGAAGATGGTACCGGAAGATTGGTGTAAAGCAGTTTTAGTCCCAATATATAAAGGAAAAGGGTCATAGCAGGACAGCAAAACCTACCGTAGTATCAGCCTGCTTAGTATTGTGGGTAAACTGTGTGCTAAGATGTTAATTGAAAGAGTTATGAAAGAAACTGTTCGAAAATTTTGGGATATGTGAGCGGGATTTAGAAAGGGAATTGGGTGTACAGATCAAATATTTTCAATGCGCATGATTGTGGAGAAGTTTTTGGCCAAAACCCAGAAAGTTCTTTGTGCGTTCATGGACTTTGAAAAGGCTTATGATAGAGTGCACAGGACTGTGTTATGGCAAACACTTAACTCATTTGGGTTGAGCGCTGGTTTGATACAGGCATAAGGGTCTTTTTATAGGGACTCTAGTGCTTGGGTCAGGAACAACAGGGTCTACTCTGACTGGTTTGGCATGCGAAAAGTTGTCAGACAGAGCTGTGTAGCTTCCCCGTGGCTGTTCAACCTATTAATGGACAGTTGTTTGCAAACTTTGAAAGATGAAGAATGTGGGTTAAGAATGGGCGAGTTAACCGTCAAATGCCTTTTGTACGCCGATGATCAAGTCATATTTGCGTCGTCGGTGGCTGAGTTGCAAATGATGGTTACATTAATGAACTGGGCATTAAAAGAAAGGGGAATTAAAGTGAACGCAAGTAAGACAAAAGTGATGGTTTTTGAAAGAGAAGAAAGTAAAACGTTATGTGAAATAAGAATAGAAGGGGAGTTGATTGAGAAAGTGGATGAGTTCGTGTATTTGGGATGTGTATTTAGCAGGAATGGTAGATATGATAAGGATATGGAACGAGTGAATGCAGGAAATAGTGTGAATCTCTACTCTACACTTTATTATGAAGAACCGGAATGTCTCCAAAAGGGCACGTATGGTTATTCATAATGCTGTGTTAATCCCTACTTTAATGTATGATAGTGAAAGTTTGGTGTGCCAGAAGAAGCACGACAGTCGAATAAACGCAGTAGAAATGCGGTCGTTAAGGAGTCTGTTAGGATTGAATCTGAATGACAGGGTGAGAAATTGTGTGATAAGAGAAGAATGGTTAGCAAGATAATGTTGTGAGCAGGATTAAGAAAGGAATGCTTCGGTGGTTTGGTCATGTGGAAAGAATGAATGAGGAAAGAGTGACAAAGCAAATTTATATTGCAGAAGTGAACGACAGGATCGGAAAGGGACGTCCTAGGTGAAAGTTTATCGACCAAAATAGCGATATTTTGAAAATGGGCCACATTAGGAATACCCTTAACTGACAAGCAAGTATGCGTAGGTGATGTGGATGTGGAGGAGGCGAGAAAGGTGTGTCGGGATCGTGCCAAATGGAAGTTTGTAGTCTCTGCCTACCCCTCTGGTGCAGCCGTGAGTGTTTATATATAAAAAAAATTGGAATTAGCTATTATGGAATGAGGATTATGTAGAAATTAAATAGATTTTTTTGTTAGTTCATATATATTTTTAATAACCAGTAGAAAGCTCCTAAAAATCTCACAAATTACGACTAGCGCGGCATTTTGCTCAAACATGCACCTTAATAGGCTGTTTTTTTTTAAATTAAGAGTTCAATTTTGTTCAAATACACGGCAAAGGATATTGCATCAGCATGTGGATTTTTTACTCTTGTGTATATTTTATTGAGTCGTATATTGCTTTTTTTTTGCAAACGTTTGCGTCTTCACATGACATGACATACGGTTAACTTTAACCCGATGTTATTAGTCATACTTTTATATCGGTGCGTGGTAACTTATGAAAGTTAAAAGACGGTGCGGCTGGTATTCACTTGGGCCACCTGTTCATAATAATGATATAATATTGAAAGAATAGAACTTTTTAAATAAAAAAAGAAGAATGTTTAAGTCAAAATAAGTTTTGTCTAACAATCTTGGTCAAAACGACCTTTGTCCGATATAATTTGGACAAAATCACTATTACCCAATATTTTTGCAGTTAAAAGTGGTTTTGGCCAACGATCATAGTCAAAACTACTTTTGACTGCCAAAATCTGTTTTAAAAGTGGTATTCACTAACGTCCCTAGTCAAAGCTACTTTTGCCCGAATTTTGCAGTCAAAATGGTTTTGACTGTAACATATACTATATCAGTAATATTAGTCATGATGACTAACTTGCGTTATCAATTAACTACATTATACGATGTTGAATATTGATAAAATCGTTATCATTACCAACGAATTTTTTGTATTTACTGGTATTTAGGTACTACTGTTTACAATAATATATTGCCTACACGTGTTGTGGGTATAAGCATGGTGGGCCGTTGTGTGTGTTTTCTGCGTAACGGTTAGGAAAAAAAACGTGCGTTAAATAAACGTTAAAAATTTATAAGCAAAAGTAATAGTAAACAACTATTTTATTTATGAAGCAGTTCGTAATGACATTGATTGTGGAGTCATTTTTAAAATCACTACGAGTGTACTAGCCTGTCCCAAAATAACACGGTATCTGCCGTGGGTAGGGTTCGGGTCCCGGGACGTCTCGTGTCTCGAAGTCATGGGATTTTTCGTAATTTTACTTGTCTCGGTTCCCGGTACTTTCAGGTCGAGACTTGAGACGAGACAAGATTGTCGAAATTGTTATGTAATCATTTTTATTTTCAAATAATTGAAGGAGCCTGGCACCATCTGTTGGATTAATAAGTAATTACTTGGTCTTCTACGTAACTACTGAGTACACAACACAACAAAAGCGTTTGTAGTTGTTGTTGTTTAACGTTATTAAAATTAGTATGGTTTTTAGTTAAGATCGTTTTATAACTATAAGATTTAGCTGTTTGAAAGTGGCGGTTTTAGGGCAAGGGAGAGTTCTTTACGCTGCCTCTCGCTCCACTCTAGGTTTCCTCCCAATAGTTTTGCTAAGCGCCGGGCATTTAATAAATTAGAACAACTTAACGTATGTGGAGATTGAATTTGAGTGTGATTAAAAGAAATAAACAAAGCAATTATTAAGACTGAGATTAACTTTAAACTTATTAAGGTTTAATTTTCTATTTAATAAATGTTAATTTTTTAGGTAATAATAATGCCTTTTTAATATGTTTCATTAGAAAATGACTAAAAAAAAATTCTTCAAAAAAGGCTTACCGCCTTTAAAAAAATTTTTCTAAGTCTCGAAGTCCCGGGACTTTGATTGTTGGCTATCTCGTGTCCCGGGACTTTGAAATTGTCTGGAATTCCCAAACCTTAGTCGTGGGTACTTCCTTAGCTAAATAAAATACTTATTACGTAGTAGAACCACGCTGCATCTACGTTATGGTTGCATCACGAATGGGTCGGCTCGACCGTAAATTAAATTAATGTCTTTTTATTTTCGGCGAGCGCAAACGTTATATGTATTTTCAAAATTGGTGAAATTCATCTAGCCAGTATTCAAAAATTTTAAATAATAAGGTTTTGACAGAACTTTGACCCGACTAAATATTGTGGTTGTAGCACGAATGGGTCGGCTCGACCAGGGAAGGACCACGCTCTTACAGTATACTAGCGTAAAATAGCAGCTTAATACTGCTGTGTATCGTTTGGTGAGTGTAGAGAGCCGGAGACCGTCTTTACTGGAAACGAGGCATTCCTTCTTAGTTCTCAGGGATGGCAACGCATCTGCATTTTGATTCCTAATCAAGGATAGATGTAGATGGGATGGATCTATGGGCCACAGCATCCACTTACCATCAAGTGGGCTGTGTGCTCGTTTGTCACCTTTATTCTAAAAAAAACATTTGAAATATTTATCGTTATCATATTGTTTGTATTGTTGCCGAGCGTTAAAGTCCACCGGTTTGAGATTTGTCGCAAGTCGCTATTTGGCTTTAATTGTTTGATCCCACTGTATGCTATTTTGTACTAAGCTTGTTACTAAATTGTTGTTTGTGTTTGTTTGTTTACAGTTCTATTTGATCATGGATGAGGTAAATGTTGCACACTTTATAGAGTAGAATAGAATACCTAATTTTTTATTCAATATAGATTACATGCAATTCTTATTGAAAGTAAAAAATGTAGTATAGTGCAATAATAGTATATATCACTTATAATGCAAAACGCACAAAAACACTATTGTTTTTTAGGGATGGGCCGAATATGGGTTTCACCGAATACGAATATTCGGCCGAATGTTCGGTAAAATTTTTACCGAACTGAATATTCGGCCGAACATTATTCGGCAGGGTAACCTCGGGACCTAACCAATTTACGTCGAAACTTGTTACCGTAGAGCGCGCGGGATTAGCGCCCGACCCTGCCTCTCACTCCCCGCCACACCTGACAGTTATTACATCATCTAGTACTAAGCAAATTGCCTGCACATGCTTATGTTTTGACTATTCTTGTGATAAAAAAATATAAATATTTTAAATCAGCACTTAAAATTGCAATTAACAATTTCATTGGTGCCGGCGGGGATCGAACCCGGTTTGCTTGCGCACTGTGAAAATTACAGCGAGCGCTAACCATCTGAGCTACCACGGCTCTTTATTCTTAGTGAATAAAGAGCCCTAAAATTTTTATTCTTAGTGAAAGTTGATAATTACTCATATGATAAAAATGAGCGGTAGGAGATTTACTATTTGGACTTATTTTAGAGAAACTGACGACCAAAGTAAAGTGAAATGTACTAATGTAGTGTATTGTTTCTTTGTTTTTCTTTTTTTGCTTTTTGTTTTAAGATTCCATGATAAAACATTTTATCAAGTTTCTATTTGCCATAATCGGAAATAAATCCACAGTGCCTCAAAAACATAAATGTATAGATTTATACATTTGAGGTAGTAGAGTAAATAGATTTAACCCATAAATAAAATATACTTTCAACAGTAAAAGACATCGCATTACATAATTCGTACATTTCAACACATTGGACACTGAAAACGAATGTTCGGTGATTTAGCCGAATATTCGGCCGAATACGAATATTCGGTATAGCTGCCGAATACCGATTATAAAACGAATATTCGGCCCATCTCTATTGTTTTTAATTTATTATAAAAAACTAGAGGTCCGACCCCGCTTTGCACAGGTGATTTCTGGACCTCGATAACAGCGCCACCTATCGGGCGTAAATATACTTTACGACTTAGCATTTTTCAAAATGTCAACCTTACGTGACCGACGTCTCATTGCAGACTTAATGTTTCTACACATGTTACTGTAACACACACATTTTCAACGACTGCCCGACGCTTCGAAAAAATGACTAATTTACTTTCACCCTTTCAGCACACACTCGTTCCTTAAATAGTTTTTCTCAATATAAGTTATTTTATATTCAGTACCTTTATAATGGACTATGTTCAGCAGTGGACTTGTGAAGGCTGTAATGATGATGACCTTTATAATATAATAAGCTACACATTACGGTAAATGTTGTGTATACCTGTAATTCGCAAGCATATTTAACCATATACATTTGTTATCGTGTTGTTGTTAATTTTTCATGTGTTTTGCTGTTGGTATACCTTGTAAATAAACTAAAAAAAAAATTGGTCGTACCGTTCCGGAGGAAAGCGACCACAAACACTGTGATACGAGATTTTCATATATTATATTATAATATACATACTATATTTCCTGTCGCGTGACGGCTGACTTTCACAAACTAGGCCAAATGCTATAAACTATAAAAAGCTTTTGTCCAACCTTAGACTGTTTGGGGATCTTCTTCGTCAGACCCGTCATAAAAAAATAGATATTGTGTAATATTTGTTTAAGGTCTCTTTTTCTTTAAGTGTTAACCTCACGTGCACGCCGTGCCTTCCGCTAATGGATAAAACAACAAGCGATTGACGTAATAGAATACAAGAGTTTTCGTTAAAGGCAAATTATTGCGTAGTACTTCGTCAATTACTATTTATCACTCAGAATCTTAATTCTGATTCTGAAAATCTCTCAATTTTTTTTAAATGTGCCGCTCCAGCACAGTCCATCACAAGTCCGCTGCTAAACACAGGCATGCCCCAAGAAATGCCAGAAAGCAAGATCCAGACCCACTTGCGTCCATTGACTACCTCACGCACCAGGTCGTCACTCCCATCTAGTTGGGGTCGCCCTACTGTGACAAGCCAGTAAGGAAAGATTATCATCACAGTTATGCAATTGTTTATACGTGGTAGAGTCACGCTGCAGCTATATTATAGTTGTAGCACGAATGGGTCGGCTCGACCGGGGCTAGACCACGCTCTCAGAATACCAGCGTAAAATAGCAGCGTAATGCTGCTGTGTTTCGTATGGTGAGTGTAGAGAACCGCAGACCCTTTTTACTGGAATCGAGGCATTCCATCTTAGTCCTCAGGGGTGACAACGCATGTGCATTTTGACTCTTAATTGAAGATAAATGTAGATGTTTATGGATCGCAGCATCAACTTACCATGGACTGTGTGCTCGTTGGTCACCCAGTGCTAAAAAGAAATATTGTACTGCTGGTTATCTCGAGGGTTCTCAGTACAGAGAAGAGGATCTGTTTATCCAGCGTCGGCCAATCTTTTAAGAAATGCGTATTTGACACATTTAAAAAGACTTCCATTCGACAATAGATTCGAAAGCGAAATAAGGAATCTTTCAATACGAGGTAAATCAGCAGTTAATATTTCAATAGTGCAGGTAGCAGTAACCGCATGGCAGGAGGATACTGTATTAATATTTCCGGCGTCGTGGAAATGCGATCTTAGTGAAATCCGGGCGGAATCCGGTTTTGGATTTTAAAATCCAGTCTATACCGGATGCTTCACAGATTGTAATTATAATGGCTCTTGACTCTTAGAACCGAAACAGAGCAGTGTGCTATTAATTGTTTACAGGGCTATTTTAAATAAAATATCAAACATCCTGTCCTTTTTATCTTTTAAATTCAAAATGCGTGGTAATGCATTATTTTTACAGATTTTACTGCGCACGCACACATTCTTAAGACTACACATCGAAAAGGCTATCGCCGTACTGATCCGAGTGAATACATAATTTCTATAAAAACTTGAAAAAACGCCGTCATAAGGTCTAAAATAGCGTAGCGCCCGCGACGATTAAAAGCGTTTTGAAATTGTCAGAATCTTAAAATATATATTTTTTTAAATTATTGATTTAAGTAATCAAAATAATGAGCAAGTAAATTATGAATATTGATGTTAGGAATATATTTGAGTGATTCTCAAGCATATAGATTAAGTAATTTCGTTTAATTTCAACTATAGTGATTTTTTAGATGTGTTTTCGCAAATAATTATGATCGAGTCAAAATTATATATTCGTGTTTTTGAACAATCAAATTCAAGATAAAAACATATATTTACCTATATCAAAATTCCACTTTCGTTAGTGGTGTCATAGTACTATACTATTCGATGAAAGGAGATGCATTTTTTCACGGTGTCGCCTTTAGGGTTAACCGTAGGCAAAAACGTTGTTGCTCATAAATCACATTCAATTTGTGATAATTTCAAATAAAAGTAGAAGCCTTATTTACTCGTATTTTCAAAAACGTCAACAGTAGTGTATCATTTAGATATTTGTACTTAAGTTAAAATTTTGGCTACACTGAAAGTCAACCTGTATAAACTGAGGCTTAGAAGCAGTTGTAAGTATATAAATTTGTTTTTTTTTTTTTGTAAAAGGTGATAATATCTTTCGTGATATTATTAATTATGCAGAACTAGGTTTTCATTCAATATCTAGTCCTACCTCGTATATGTACTATAATTTATAGCTGGCCCGATTGACGCTATTTTACCCCTTCCGGTTAGTGGTGTGATATGTTTCACTCATAATCCACTCCGCACTTTGTACAGTGTTGTTTTGTTTGATTTTGTGATTTATCAAAGATATTACAAAATAATTAGCTAAGAACCGCGGGATCCGCGTATGAAATAATGTGTCTTACCTAGTTTGAAGAGCACCTTCCGCCCTCCCTCAATTGCATGCACCATCCCGCGGGGTAGTTTATTTTATTAGCTTATTAATTTTTTTCATCATTAATTTATGAGATTTTTGCAAAGTAATGCCTGTTTTTATTTATTTGTGATTTACTTTTTTGTCTAGAAATATAGAATTTGATAATTGCTTGTCTACAGCGCCACCTATAGAATCCTAGCGTAGCTATAAATATCAGGTGAGCCGTATGCTCTTTTGCATATTAAAAATTATCTCATATTAAAAAAAACATCGTCTCGACAAAACGAATATATTGTGTTAATATGACCACAGAAGGAACTTACCTGATCACTAACAGATACACCATATTATCTGCATAAAGATTCTGTGGAGTGACTGTCGCATTGGTCTAGTGGTGGTAAACGCGATTGTTTATCGTGATGTCCCGGGTTCGAATCCCCGATGGGGTCAAAATCAGTTATTGCGTTTTTCTGTCTAGAAATTATTAGTAGCCCGAAGTCAGGAACTTGGTGGTGTTTCATCCCTGTGCCTCAAAAAATACGTAAAGCCGTTGGTCCTGCGCCTGATGTCTCTTCTCCGGTCGTGTCGATTACCGACCCATCGAATTATGAGAGTATGGAAATAGTAAGTGCCCACGTTTACACGCAAGCACATTGCGTAAATACTTGGGCACTGTAATATATATAATTTATAATTATAATTTTATCAATTAAAAAAAATAGTTAAATAAGTAACAGTCATTTAGGCATGTCTTGAAATACCGTCTTTAATGAATCGATGACGGGTTGTTATATTTGCTTGACAAATGATTGCGAGGATAATAAGGTTTGAGATTCTTTGTCTTTTAGCTTCGTATCGAGTCCAAATAAAGAAATGCACAACCGTTTTTTTAACAATTGTAGTCCGTATTATTAGCATGGTTTGCTGCGCGAGTTTTTAGAGGAAATTGCAAATGGTTTCCTTTATGTTCTTCTTTTTTCCTTTATTAGTTAGGTGTATACTTAGAACTGCTTATAATATATTCAATATCCGTAATACCGACTTGATAAACAGTTT